TAGTAGTAGTACTAGTAGTAGTAGTAGTAGTAGTAGTAGTATTAGTAGTATTAGTAGTAGTAGTAGTAGTAGTAGTAGTAGTAGTAGTAGTAGTAGTAGTAGTAGTGTAGTCGTAGTAGTCGTAGTAGTAGTAGTCGTAGTAGTAGTAGTAGTAGTAGTAGTAGTAGTAGTAGTAGTAGTAGTAGTAGTAGTAGTAGTCGTAGTAGTAGTAGTAGTAGTAGTAGTAGTAGTAAGTAGTAGTAGTAGTAGTAGTTGTAGTAGTCGTAGTAGTAATCGTAGTTGTAGTAGTAGTAGTAGTAGTAGTAGTAGTAGTAGTAGTAGTAGTAGCCGTCGTAGTAGTAGTAGTATTAGAAATACGAGTAATATTATTGATATTAGTAGTAGTAGTAGTAGTAGTAGTAGCAGTCGTGGTCGTAGTACTTGTAGTCGTAGTCGTAGTAGTAGTAGTAGTAGTAGTAGTAGTAGCAGCAGTAGTATTAGTAGTGCAAGTCGTAGCAGTAGTAATAGTCGTAGTAGTTGTGCTAGTAGTAGTAGTAGTAGTAGTAGTAGTAGTAGTAGTAGTAGTAGTAGTAGTAGTAGTAGTAGAGTAGTAGTAGTTGTAGTCGTAGTAGTAGTAGTCGTAGTAGTAGTAGCAGTAGTAGTCTTTGTAGTCTGTGTAGTCTTAGTAGTAGTAGTAGTAGTAGTAGCTGTAGTAGTAGGGGTAATAGTAGTAGTAGTCGTAGTAGTAGTAGTAGTAGTAGTACTAGTACTAGCCGTCGTAGTAGTAGTAGTAGTAATAGTCGTAGTAGTAGTAGTAGTAGTAGTAGTAGTAGTAGTAGTAGTGGTAGTGGTAGTGGTAGTGGTAGTGGTAGTGGTAGTAGTAGTAGTAGTAGTAGTAGTAGTAGTAGTAGTAGTAGTAGTATAGTAGTAGTAGTAGTAGTAGTAGTAGTAGTAGTAGTAGTAGTAGTAGTAGTAGTAGTAATAGTCGTCGCATATTTCTGGCCGTGCCTGTAGGAAGCATTCTGTCAGGTTCTGTTGCAATTGTGATGGCAACGTGTACATTGCAGCCGGGGTTGGGGTGACAGCTGTTGTGCGAGGGCAAGGGCGCAGGCAGAACCAACTTGCAACAGAGTGAGTGTGACACAGCATGAGCATCATCGCCATCGCGACCTCACGCGCGGCTAGGTTGGTGTTCGCTTTCGGTGTCCTCGGCACCCTCTTCGTGCCCCTGCTGAAATTCTCCCTGAGCCTGCCGGCGCTTGTGCTTTCTTAATCTCTCTGGCATGGCGAAGTAGAGCCACTGGGGGCGGGGAAGGGGGATGATAATCAAAGAGCCAGGTCAGGACCGACGTGGGCGGGAGCAGCTGCGGAAGTATCGACGGCGGGGAAACAGGGTCAGTGGGCAAAGGAGGAGAGTTGGAGAGAGAATCAGAAAGCAGGGGGCTTGAATTTTTGCGATGTGTTCAATGAGCACTTTCGTACCCGTGGACTGCACTTCCGTAGTGCGGACTCTCACGATGTGGAGTGTGGCCATGCCCCATGGCGGGCGCGCTGTGCTTCCTTCCGTGTAGTCAGCAGTGGCACGTGTGAGCGAGGGAGCCGAAGTTTCACCAGGCAGGGGACAACTCTAGCAGATTCTACAGGCTTGCGCTGCATCCGCCGATGCCTTTGTATCGGTGTAAGGGTGGGCAGCCTTCCCAATGGTATCCCTGCATCCTTGCTTCCTCGGCCCATCCTTAGCCGCTTTCGTTGGTCGCGCCCCGCTCGCAAAGTGCCAACATGGCCTTCCAGGGCCCTTGCATCCTTATCGCGCATCCTTATGATACGGCTTAACTGTATGTTTTGGGGATGTGTCGGGATCTGTGCAGAGGTTCTGGAGGCAGTGCCGCGGCTCGGCGATGGGGCGGGCGATGAGAAGCCCCAAAACGACTCGGACCATGTCTTGCGCGAGGTGCAGCCATGACAAAAACCAAAACAGAAGTCGCGCAGTGGTAACGCAACATGGAGCGAGAGCGTAGGCACAGCCCGTTTTCCGAGCGACACGTGCATGGCGCGATTTGAACAGAAGGCGGAGATATCGGAGCCGCAGAAGAAACACAACACAGCCGGCGAAAAGGCTCTGTCAGCGATGCGCGTTGGAAAGAGAGAGAGAGAGAGATAAAGAGAGAGGTAGAGAGAGAAAGAGATGGGGATCGCAGTAATGCGAGTTACTGTAAAGAAATCAAATATCAAGAGAAACTTGGAGGCGGAAACGAACATGTTGACGAGTTGCGCGCCAGGATGCTATAGGTGACTTTCTGAGATATCGATCATTTGAACCGGTCTCAAGCGGAGGGAGGATTATCGGAAGAAAAAGGAGCCAAAGCGGTTTGCAGGGGTTGTAGCAAGCATGACATACCCGCGCCGGGAGTGGCCGATGCGGCAACGCGGCTCGATCTAGGAGAGTTGATGTGCCCAGTGTGCCAGAAGAAGTTCCCGCGACAGAAACACATCAAGCCCAAACGAGAAGAGCACCACTCCCAGACTTATGCGCGAGTGACTCGCGCGGATTGCAAGGACGACGGGCTCGCGGTGAGCAGTTGTGAAGCGTTTCAGTGCAGTGCTACGTGCGACGGGACGCTTCAAAGTCGGAGTGTTTTTCCCGTGCGGGGGACAATGTCGCGCGCGCCGACAAAGATGGTTCTTTGAAACGCAAGTCTTGCAAATGATACCCGTTCGGGTGTTCATCTCGGCGATCGAGTGAGCATTGGCGTTGCACGAATTGAGCACCGAGGAAGTAGGACCAGGTGGGGGGGGAGAACGAGGAGGGGGGACCAACAAGATATCGCTGATAACGGTGACAATGATAAGAGGGAGGAAAGAGAGAAGGGGTACAGCAAAAGTGGAAGCGCCTCGAGGGGCAACCCGCCACCGTGGTCTGGTCGTATTACACAAGCCACCGTGCTTGGGTCGTGAACCAGCAGCGTCAGGAAAAGACGTGATGCGACAAGTGGAGCGACGAATGCTCGAGTGGTGGATCAGAGAGCTTTTTGCACATATACAGACATATGTATGTGTATATATATATATATATATACACATACAAGACTCCATTGGCGCCTCGCGCCACGCGCCATTGTCCTTGCAACTTGGCGTGCAGACGGAAGTCGCGGCGGACGGGCTGAACAACTAAAGCAGAAACAATAGCGATAACATTTGCCTTGTCCGACATCGTCGTCATAATCATGCAATTGGTTATCTTTCCCTCATGTTTCCCCCTCCTCTTCCTCATTCTCGCCCTGCGAATTATTCCCCATAATCCTTTGCTTTTTTGCGGAGGCTCCTCCTAGGAGAGTGTCTTGGGGGCCTCGCGAACGTTTTAGATGGATGTTTGGGGCCTTCAGGAGGCCTCCTGGGCGCCTTCTGAAGGCCTCTGGGGGCTTCCTCGAGCCACCCTGCTTCCGACTGCGGTCTCCCTGAACGACCAGGTCACATTTTGGAATGCTTCGGGAGGCGTCTTGGGGCTATCTTGGGCCGTCGGGCTCTCTTCGAGCCATCCTGGGGCCCTGTTGGGCCAGTTTAGGGGTCTCTTGGACTGCTTGGAAGCCCTTTCGGATAGTTTGGGCATTATTGTCGGGCCTCTTGGTCGGTTTCGGACGTCTGGAAGAAGAACAGAGTATCCCCCAAAACATGCAAAAATCATAGGAAATCATTGTCTTTCTGCATTTCGAAAGCTTCTTGGGGGTGTTCTTTGGGTCGTCTTCGGGCGTCTAGTGGGTGTTTGGAGCCTCTTGGGGCCCTCGCGGGGCTGTTCGGCAGCATTCCTGATCTATTAGGGCCCGCTGCCTGGGCCCAGCAGGGGCTTCCAAGAGCTCCCAGAAGCCCGGGGAACCTTCTGCAAGGGTGTCCAGTGGACCCCTGGGGCCAGGGATCGGGGTTTCCTGCTCAGGGGGCAAAATCTCAGATGGTAGGAATCTAGGAAAGGGAACTTATGTATACCTAATAGCCTTCGGCCCATCACGCCTCTGTGCCCGTGCTTGTGAGACAGTTGTGAGGCCTCTTGGGCACCGTTGTTGGGCCCGCCCACTTTAGGCCTCATGGGGGCCTTTCGGGTGCCTGAGGGCAGCCTCGGAGGTCCTTTAGGGTCGGAAAGTTCGGAACGTGAGCGCAAGTTTCGAATCTGCCAGGATTATACGACTTCTCATGGGACATGACATGGTGCTTGCGTCTTGGGACGGGGAGTGCGTTTGCAGGCTTTTGGGGACGTGTTGGACGCCTCGTGGGCCGTCTGGAAGCCACCTTGAGCTTTATTCGCCGATCCGTCGAAGCCCACAGAAAACACCCAAAGAGCCTGGATCCGCCCATGGCGCGTTCCTGGAGGGGGGTCGTCACGCGCCCTGGGGGGAGGGATTCCCAGTTCTGGGTTCTTGGGGGAGGATAATGGAGGGGACTATCACACGCCTGGAGAGTCACAAGGGTTCGGCCACACGGGGTCGGCGGATTCTGGGCGTCCGATCTTTCGCAAATGGTTCAGGCCATGCGCCTGCGCAGCGCCAGGTCTGACGCCCAAGATCCCAGAAGAGTCTTCAGATATTTGGGTTCAAGCTCGCGCCAGCCAGCTTGCGTCGCCTTGGGCTTTCGATCTTTTCGAGATGTCTGCCACGGGATACGCGTATGCAGCGGCGCCGCCGATGTACGCCGCCGAGCCAACCACAGCATCCCCGACTGCATATTATGGAGCCCCTGCAACATACGCCAGCGCATACGCTCCCCAGGGCACCTACCAGCAGTCCGCGGCGGTGACGTACTCTGCCCCCACGACTTATGTCCAGGCTGCCGCGCCTCCGACCTACGTGGCCGCTGGGCAGCCACCCGTGTACGAGCAGGCCCCCGTCACCTATGCGCAGCCCGCCGTGACCTACGCGCAGCCGCCAGAGGCGACGTACGCGCAGCCGTCCGTCGTCTACACGCAGCCAGCCGCAGAGGTTGCGTACTCCTCACCAGCGGTGTCTTACGCGCAGCCCGCCGTGACCTACGCGCAGCCGGGGGAGTACACGTACGCGCAGCCCCAGACGTATGCGCAGCCCCAGGCGTATGTTCAGCCCCAGGCGTATGCGCAGCCCCAGGCGTATGCGCAGCCCCAGGCGTATCAGTACGCGCAGCCCTCCTACCAATATGCGGGCGAGCAGCAGGTGCCAGCCCCCGCGGCGTACCAGTTCCCCACGGCGGCGTCCATGGTCGCGGCTCCGCAGATGGGGCTGCAGAGCGCTCCCTCGATGGTGGCCTACCCGATGTACGCGGGCCAGACCCAGCAGATGCACATGCCTGGTGCAGCCATGTCGCCGTTCATGGGGGCTCCGAGCGGCTTGCCTGAGGCAGGGGTGTCAGATTCTTACGCGGGCACGAAGCCCGGGGCGGATGTTGCGCCTGCCACGTCGGCGCCCACAGGAATGACAGGAACCGGATCCGCTGGTCCCCCCAAGAAGCTCTCAAGCAAGAAGGTGACAGGCACGAAGACAGGCGCCAAGAGCAAGAAGAAGAAGGGCGGCTGCTGCTGAGGACATGGCGGGATGCCTCTTCCTTGTGCAGCTTGTACTCTATCTCCTTCCAGCCGCGCCTCAATATAGCTAAGTAATAGTCTCGGTCACGCGCCTTGACTGTCCGAGATGCCTCGTGGCCTGCCACCGCCTGTCCCCCGAGCTAGGTGGCCGAACGGTGGCGTCCAAGGGAAGCACGACGTGAGCGGCGCCTGGGCCACCTCAAGTGGGATTGCTCCGGAGGGGGCCGCCACAATTCTGAAGGCGCTCTGCAAGGGCTCCCAGAATATGCTTGCGAGCATGTCTGGCGGGAGATCCCCGCGCAGAGCAAGACCCACAGGCGTAAGATCAGTGCCGTCATGACGCTAACATACGGTGGAGGCGTTCGTTAAGGAGTAGTCCCAGGAGGCGCCAGATCCTGGAGGACTCCTTATCCAATGAGGGCGGCGGTGATATCCATGGCCGATCCACGATTGGAGTTCCACTGGCTTCCAGGCCCTGGATTCCTTGTCTAAGGGTTCCTGATCCAATGCCCCCACCGCAGGGACCACTTTGGGCGCGGGAAGGGGCCTTGGCATCGCTCGGACGTGTGCATTTTTTCTCGGCGAGGACCATCGAGGAGCATCTTTGATCATTCAGCGAAAAATGCACGCACGAACTCGACAAACGCACGGGGAATGGACGTCCGAGCGATGGCGAGGGGCACTTTGGTGCTCGGGCCGTTCCCTGGCCTGGGGTCGGGAGGCCTGCTCGTGGCCGAGGCCCGCCTTGGCCAGGGGAGCCCCCTCGGGTTCCCCTACAGGGCAGCACGACGGACCGTGTGCGGGGGCTCCGCCTCCTCCTCCCTCCTCCTCTTCCTCCTCCTCCTCCTCCTCCTCCTCCTCCTCCTCCTCCTCCTCCTCTCTAGTGGCGTGGGATCCTCCTCCTCCTCTCGTCCCGGGGGTCCGTCCTTCGTAGGGCCACGCCGCGGGCCGAGGTGTCGGATTGACCTCGAGGGGGGTTCCTTTGCGGTTCGCCGTGCTCGTTGGAGGCCCCGGTGCGTCCCTGGGGTGAGGCAGCCCCTGCGTGCCCTCCGCGTGTGTTTTTTTGGGGGGGCCGGCGGAGGGCCTCACGTTCTCGAGGGGGGCTCTTCTGGCCCAGGTTCGGCTGCCTGGGGTGAGGATTAAGTCGGGCCCGTGCCTCTACAGGAGGAATGTCCAAAAATAGTTAAAACAAAGCATCTGGGGACGTTTTTTTTTTTTTACTAGTTTGGCCCTTTGGGAGGGTATTCTTTGCGTATTTCTTATTTTCCGCCCAAGATCCCCCTGCATGGGGACACGCCCGACTTCAGGCGAGGAGGGCAGTGCCTCTCGGGGGCAGCCGAGGCGGGTGCAAGGCGGGGGGGGGGCCGGGAGCTCGGCAGCGCGAGCGCGCAAGGGAGCCTCCGCGCATCCGCCCCGCCTCCCTGAGGAGGGGGCGGGGTTCGTGGGCGCGACTGCTTGCATGTCCACTCTCTCTCTCTCTCTATCGCTTTTTTTTTTATCTCTCTCTCTCTCTCTCTCCCTCTCTCTCTCCCCCCTCTCTCTCTACTTACATCCCTCTCTCTCTCTCTCTCCCTCTCCCCCATCTCTCCCTCCCTCCCCCCTCCCCCTCTTGTTTGTTGTGCTGTTGTTTTATCTCTCCTTATCGCTGTGTATGTCTTCTGTATGTATATGAATATGTATATGTATATATATATATATATATATACATATGTGTATGTAGGTCTCTCTCTCTCTCTCCGTCTTCCACGTTGCGTTGTTATATCTCTCTCTCTCTAACACTCTCCCTCTCTCCCTTCGTTCCTCTATCCCTCCCTTTCTGTGTTTCTGCCCTCCTGCTTCCTCTCTCTTTCGTTTTCTCCGCGGCGGCCTCTCTGATTGCGTCTGTCTCTTAAAAAGTATATACAACACATGCATATGCACATATATATATATATATGTATAGTTGTACACACGTATACACTTATACAGACACGTCCGTAGCCATTTTGGTTCAAGGCTATGAACCGCCCGACGACCGCGAGTCGGCCTCGGTCGGCGACTGATGAGCGCGAGGGGGTTCGCGCTTTGAGGCCTAAGACTCTCTCACCAATTGAGACTCGTGCTGCCCTTCTGGGCCCCAGCATCCGCCGCCCACGTTCCCCGTCCGCTTCTCTCCTGCGGGTGGGATGCCCGATGGCGTTGCCTCTCTGTCTCGGCGGCCTGGCAAGGCTGGCGAAGCTTCTGGTGGTGCTGGCACTGGGCAGCGACGGCGAGGCAGCCCACGTGAGGGCGATGACCGCAGTCGCAGTGCAGGCACGGACGACCCCTTCCAGTCCGCCAGTGCTGACCCCTGGCGCGCCCGTGGGAACGAGTGCCAAGGTACGGCCACGCCGATCGCCACCACTCCTCCAGCGACCCCCAGGACACCACGCAGCAGCGGCCGTGACAGAGCTCACCCTCACCGCGCTCCTGGTTCTTCTCGGCCTGCTGTCGCTCCTGCTACGGGCGTGGATGGGCCTGTGTTGCACTCGGAGCTGGAGAAAATCCTGGGTGCCATGCGCGACTCTATCGTCGGTTACGTCTCCGATGCCAACAACAAGATGTCTGCCAACATCGCTGCGACCACCACGGCCGCCCTCCGCGTCTTCGGCGAGCGCCAGGCCGCCAAGAATGCGCAGATCGACCAGCACCTGCAGGATCTCGACCGCGGCGTGTCGCGCATCCAGAGAGACCAGCAGGAGATGCGCGAGGCCCTGGAGAAGCTGGAGAAGGTGGTCACGGCCTGTGAGGCGGCAGCACCTGCCCAGCACATCGGCGACGTGGCGGACTGGTGCAGGCAGCCCGACAAGTCCATCTTCGTCATCACGGCCAAGGAAGCGGTCACCTCGGAGGCGGTCCTCGCAAGTGTGCGTCCCTGGCTGGCGGACACCGACATTGAGGATCAGCACTGGTCGCTCGAGGGGGCATCCCCTGGCCGCCGCCATATTCTCCGCATGCGGGGCGCTGAGGGACTGGCTGCTCGTCGTGTCATCTCGGCCTTCCAGAAGCTCAAGAAGGACGGCTTATGGCGCCGCTTCACAGCGGCCTCTATCGAGGGAGGCACTCAGGTGCCCATCTTCGTCGGCCTGGACAAATCTCCCCAGGCCATCCGCCGCGAGATCCAGACGAAGCGTCTCCTCGAGCTCGTGCGAGACGCTGGGGTGGATGGGCGCTGGCGTGCCAACCGCCATGCAGGTGTCATCACCGACGGCTCGCAGCCAGGCATCAAGCTGGTTGTGGGCGAAACGGCAGAGGACCCGGCTATCCTTGAGTGGAACTATCGTGCTGTGCATGCTCGCAACTTCCCTCGTGACGCCATCAAGCAGTCATTCGACGAAGTCTTCGGCTCCACCGAGAAGATCCAGTGGGCTATTTAGCACGCGTTTCGCTCCCTGGCGAGATCCTGGCGAGTTTCGTGAGTGCGCAGCGATCGGGTCATGGAATGCTCGTGCGCTCGTGCATCATGATGCTACCACGAGGGACCGCAAGTTTCGTCATCTGCTGTCATACCTCGGACAGGGCACAGCGATGTGCATTCAGGAGGCGCACGGTAATGCCATTGCATTTATGCAAGAACTTCACCGACATCATGTCCACGCTCAGGTCTTCATGAACTTTGGCGACAGGCGTGATACTGGCGGAGCGGTTATTATTCTCCCTGGGCGCTTCGCTGCCACTGATGCTCCCAGATACTCTCATGAGATTCTTGTCACTGGCCGAGTTCAGCGACTCCGTGTTTCAGGCCCTGCATCCGACACCCCTTCTCCTTCGCTCATTATGTATAACGCCCACAACTTCGGCATCAGTGGCGACGAGATGACTAAGATCGAACGTCGTATTCGGTCTGACATCGCCATGGCCCAGTCGGCGCCGAAGATGGTCGCGTTGCTGCTGCTCGGCGACTTCAACATCATGGCGGCGCCGCCCCTGTTGGTCCAGACCCCCTCATCAACAAGGGCCTCGTGCGCATGGACGATGCTGTGCCTCGGCCATTGGAGCGCCGCTGGAATGATATCTTCTCTGACTTCGTCGAGCTTGACAATGAGCTTCCCACGCACTTCTGGCAAGAGGAAGGCTCGCCGCCGAAGCTGTCGCAGATTGACAGAGCGTTCTTAGCCTCTCCCTCGTGGCTGGCGATACAGTGGCACGTCGCGCTCTCAACGCGTGACCTCCCTGAACGGCTTCACGAGGTTGGTCTTAGTGATCACGCACCCACTGCGGTTACCTTTGCTGGCCGGCCGCCGATGGACAGCGAGACGCAACCGATCCCACGTTACATCTTCAAGAGTCCCGAGTATGCGAGGCAGTATCGGCTCTTCGCCACTCATGTTCAATGGCATGTTCTGCATCCTTATCAGCGGAGGCTTGAGCATAAGCGACTCATGCGTGAAGCTGCTCGTCGAGTACGGGACAGTGTCTTTAAGCACGGTGCTCATGACAACGACTCAAAGTTGCTCATCTTCCGATCGATCGCCAGAGCGGTCTGGAGGGGCGATCTCAAGCTGGCGGAGCGCCTGGTCGCATCGTCACCGCTTGCTGCCGAGCACCTCATGATCACCAGTAATTCGGTCTCCATCTCGAACCCTTCGGACTTTGCAGCGGCGTTCGCGGCTGAGCAGAACCTCTTCTCTGAACGCCGACTCGCTGATCTCGATGGTCGGGCCCAGGCGGCTCCTCCTGACGGCGCGTCCTTCAAGCGCATCATCGCCGTGAGGAGGGCCACCAGGAGGAGGGCTGCACTCTGGGCCCCATTCAAGCGCACTCTCAAACTTCAGCGATTGCGTCTCCCTGACTCTGGTGGCCCACATGACCTGGGACAGGGAGAGGAAAGAATCGTGAATGCGCAGGCTGACGTGTTCGAAGAGTTGCGCAAGCACTGGTCGCCGATATTCCAGCGCGATCTGCCCGAACACCCCCTTGTGCAGCGCTATTCGGACGAGCATCCCGTGGTGATCGACGGCCTCGAGGACATTCGTCTACCAGGCTCTCGCGATCTTCAGCGAGCGGCGCGTAGGGCTCGCGCTTCAGCAACAGGCCCTGACGGACTGCCTTATGATGCTTTGAGCTGCTGTGGGCCATCGCGTCCTCTGGAAGACCTGGCGCAGGTGGGGTTCGAGGTCGCGCAGGGCTTCCCACCACCGCCTGGCCTCAACGATC